GAGTCTGCTTCTCCCTCTGACCCTCCTCCCTCTCATGCTCTCTGTCTCTCATTCTCTCTCTCTCAAATAAATAAAATCTTTTTAAAAAAGTAAATAAAATAAAAATAAAAAATTAAAGAATGAGTTTATGATTCTATAGAATTAGCAACTATAATTTTTTTGTAAGATCCTATTTTTAAGTAATCTCCACACCCAACATGAGGCTCCAATTCACAACCCTGAGATCAAGAGTCACAGGCTCTACAGACTGAGCCAGCCAGGTGCCCCAGTGTCCTTTGATATTTTTATAAAAATTGTGTACACACAAATTTATCTGAAGTGTGACTTACTAATCCCAATAAAAAGTATAATTTGATGAGTTTTCCTTCAATAGTTTGAGACACGTCTAACAAACTGCAGTTTAGTTGCCCTACCTAAAAGAAGAAAAAACTCAAGTCCTAAGCTACTCCCCTTTACAAACCTTCCCCAATAGACCGATTCTTTCCTTTTAGAGAAAGAAAAAGCAAAAAAATCCTCAACCTGTGTTAAACCTCTTTATCAGTTTACATGTGGTCTAAGTGTCATTTTCCAGTGCTTTGTCTATGAGTAGTTGGTTGCTCTAATACTTTCCAGAACTGATTTGCCCTTAGGTACCAACTTGACTGAACTATTAAGACTCAGATCCAGCAATTTTGGCTTTAAATAGGGAAAATGAAAATAGGAAAACCACAAAATAACTGGCTAGCTCCTAGAGACTAAAAGCAAGGCTCACGGAACAAGTCACTCGAGTGCAAACTTAAGCATGCACAAAGTGGCGCCTGGGTGGCTCAGGTCATGATCCCAGGATCCTGGGATGGAGCCCCACATCGGGCTCCTGACTCAGCGGGGAGTCTGCTTCTTCCTCTCCCTCTGCCTCTCCCACTGCTCATGCTCTCTATCTCTGTGTCTCAAATGAATAAATAAAATCTTTAAAAAAAAAAAAAAGCATGCACAAAGAAGCAGCAGCAGAGTGTCCTGAGCTCCAGTTGCATTTCCACCTCAGCAAGCTTGAAAACGTACAGAACACACCGACGTTTATACTTGCTAACTTGGATGATATTCATGAATGTGAGCCCAAGAATAACTGAAATTTCAAATTAAATTAGGAAGAAAACAGCAGCTCTGTAAATCGTTCAGCGAGGGTTGGAAAATGTAAAAGAATGAATGAAAAGGAGGGTCCTAAGGAAGGACCTGGCCGGGGGGTTTCGGCCCGCGATAGCCCGGCGGACCGGGAAGAGGAAGGAAGCGGAAGAAGAAGCGCGGGCGCTTTTCCGCCGACCGTTGGCGCCCCGAGCCCCCCGCCCCGCGCCTGCGCAGCTCGCTGACTGAAAGTTGCGGGAGCGCGCCGGCCCCCGCTTATCTAGGGGGTGGGAGGGGCGGGCGGGGCGAGAGCACGTGACCGGGATTGCGGCATTTCTGGCCCAATCCAAGGCAACTGGGAAAGCGCCCTTGCAGAGCAATTCGGGTAGCCCCGGTTCCTGACCTCTTTTTAATCTCCTGGCTTCTGGAGTCCTCTCTTGGGTCTAAGAATCTGGTTTTGCGGAACTTTTTGTCGTGCGTCCCGCAAATCAAATTAGAGGCACAGTCTGGAGTGAGGGGCACTTTTTCTTTTTCTCCATAATTAGAGTGTCAACACTCTAATATCAAGGCCTATTGCTCTCTCCCCAAGACGCTCAAATCCGATTTCTACTGCTGGAGACTCCAGAATCCCTGGAGGGCGTCTTGTTGTAAAAATAGTACTCTAAAAAAAGGAAAACTGGTTTATCTATATCAGGGGTTGAGGATTGGGGAAATTAAGGTAAAAATTTAAAGAGGCAGGTGTTCCATAGGACTACGATAGAGAACTTACCTCAAAAACGTTACCCCCAGAAGATCACTTTATCTCAAAGCATTTAGGAACACCTGGGTGACTCCGACGGTTAAGCGTCTGCCTTCGGCTCAGGTCATGATCTCAGGGTCCTGGGATCAAGTCCCGCATGGGGCTCCCTGCTCAGATGTGAGCCTGCTTCTCCCTCTCCCTCTGCTCCTCCCCCTGCTTATGCTCTCTCTCTCTCAAATTTTCTCTCTCCAAATCTCCCGCTCTGTTTATTCAGACCTTCTATCAAGATTCTAAAGTGATGACGCTGGGATAAGATTACCTACATGACATGGTTGGTAAGCCCCAGAGGAGTGTGAAAGGAAACCAGGCCTTAGAGAAACTCAGTCTGAAGGCTAAAGTCCTTGAAGTGAAAAGGAAGTGGGGTAAAAGCAAAATGGATTGAGGCTGAGTTCTAACGTTCTAATCCTTCCCCTGCTGACTGCTATGGTGACAGCCCAGGAACCTTGGCAGTGGGGGATCAACAGTGCAAAAGCATAAAATGTCAATATGTCAAAACAATTAAAAATAAAAAAAAGGATATCGCCCTCCACATGTCCTATTATAGATAGCTTGGTAAAAATAAGGCCCCTCACCCGGAATCCTAGTCAGAAAATTTCACTCATTTCCTACAAATACTAAATCCTCAACACAGCAGAAATGAATTCGCTCTGAACTCAGAATATTCTCATAAATGGAATGGGGGGGTGCATAGCAAAAAGTGCTGGACTTGCACTGACTTCTCTGCCCTAGTTGCAGAGTGATTGTAATCGCTGCTTCCCTTGCAGATGCTTGTTTACCCTGGTGCTGCTGTCATTGGTTCTTAAGTATAGTTGCTTCCACTGCAGTTCCTTCCCTTACACTTAGAGGTTCTTCTACCAAGGCATCTTCCTCAGTCACAGCTGTCCATAGAAGTGATATTGAGCTCCCCTGAGCACACTGTTGCTGGCTTCTCTGGGCCAAGAGAAGACTGGGAGAAAATGCCTCCACGCAGCAAAACCCAGGAGTCTCAGTGAGCTCATTCTGGGGCTGTGGAATGAGTTTGTCCAACTAAAGTGGAGGCACAGATCATGGCAAGATGGTGCCATCTGAATATTTAATAGGAGAATCACAGAAAATAGGAAAGCTTTGAGTGTCACTTACTTAACAGCTGAAATGGGTTTGGTTTGGTTTTTTTTTTTCCACCAGTGTTGTGTGCCTATTGATGGCCTGTGTCAGGATTGACCAGTAATGTGAATGTGTCCGTTTTATAAGTAACCAGGTCCAAGTGATGCCTTAAGCAAAAATTTGAATTATGTGTAAATATTCATAAATTTGAATAAGTCATAGTTGCTTCTGATTCTTAGTCAGAATTGCTATTATGGGGTAACCCTGCTTCAGTCTTATCACCCAAAAAAGTGACTGGATCTGTATGAGATAAAACTATTTTACCAGTATATATAGTATTTTTAGAGATGCTCCTGGAGATCAACCCATTTTGTAATTTCCATTTTGTGGTGTTATAACCTGTTCTCCTTCAAGTTAGGGCTGATCAACAGACTAACACAAGTAGCTGCCTCAGGCCAAATAACCCAAGCCAGGTTTTCAAATCTTAGGCTGGTTAGTTCATGAAAAAGGAACGCAGTAGTAGAATGCTATTATTAAGCAACAGCTGCAGGATATCATTGCATCCAGTACTAGGAACAGAGGGGAAATTTTCAGCAACTGGGAGAATGTCACATGTTCCAAAGCCTCTCTTTAAAATATAGAAGAAGAAATAAACACAATCTCTCACAGAATTGCTTCATTCTCTACCACCACCAAAAATTTTTAGTGTAGTTCTACCATTTTCTTTAACCAAGGGGAAAAAGGCTTTGAATTTTTTAAAGATGTAAAACACATACACACAAAAACATTAATTTTAATAAACAATTTCTATAGTTGAGCTATACTTCAATATTTTCCATCTCTCAAGGAGCAGAGTTCTGTAATTAAAATACCTTTTCAATATTAAACTGTAAGCAGTCACAAAAACATTAACATATTTGTGCCTTGACTTTGTACAATACATTCCAGAGTTGTCTACAAACCACTTCTCACTGGAAAAACAAAAGACAGCAAAAAAAACATTGGTTCAGGTTTCAGTCAAGGTGAACACGCAAGAATTGTTTGTATTATATTATCTAAGGATTCTGAAGATAAACGCTATACAGTGTAAATGAAGACTTTGGATTCATTCTTTAAAACTATTGGTGTACAGGGGCGCCTAGGTGGCTCCGTCAGTTAAGCATCTGCCTTTGGCTCATAATCACAGAGTTCTGGGATGAAGCCCCGAGTGGGGCTCCCTGCTCAGTGGGGACCTGCTTCTCCCTCTCTCATTCCCCCTGCTTGTGCTGTCAAATAAATAAATAAAATCTTAAAAAAAAAAAACTATTGGTGTACAACAGATTTATAATCACTTTAGTTAACTATAGATAAGTTACTTCAACTGTAGGTAACAAAGTTATTACTTCAGACCAAAATACAAAAAGTACTGGCTCATTTGCAACTGTGGATGGAACTAGAGTGTATTACACTAAGGAAATAAGTCAATCAGAGAAAGATAATTATTGTATGATTTCACTCATATGTGAAATTTAAGAAACAAAACAGAGGATCATAGGGGAAGAGAGGAAAAAATAAGATGAAACCAGAGAGGGAGACAAACCATAAGAGACTCTTAATCGTAGGAAACAAATGCGGGTTCCTTGAGGGGAGGTGCCTGGGGGGATGGGGTAACTGGGTGATGGACATTAAGGGCATGGGATGTAATGAGCACTGGGTATTATATACGACTGAAGAATCACTGAACTCTACTTCTGAAGCTAATAATACATTATATGTTTATTAACTGAATTTAAATTTAAAAATATTAAGAATAAAAAGTACTGGCTCAGTTTGCAACTCCAAAAGGAAAATTAAGGGAATCCAGAATTTTTTCTGCTTCTTGGACAAAAGAAAGTAAGGCAGATGATGAGTTAAATTACTACATTGTAATGCCTCATATGACATCCAAGTGTGTGAGAACTTCCAAGCTGTTTCTGTTTTTAAAAAGACCTTCAAAGCCCCCGGTGGTGGTATTCAAAAAGTGAATGTCATACACTGAAACTAATAATTAACAACAAATCTTCCATTTATTTGAAGCAATTCAATTTCAAAAACTTTAAGTTACAGCAGTCACAGAAAAAAAAAACAGGGAAGTCAAAAACAATAAAAGAATAATCAGGAGTGCTGCATTTTTTTTTTTAACACTGTCATGGCTTTATTCAAAACACAGTTGCACAAAAGTATTAACTTCAAAGTTTTTAAAGAAGAGTTTTGAGGAAATTTAACACACTATATACATACTGCCATACAAAGAGCATTAAAATAGGACCAAAAACTTCTACAAAATATAAAACCCACCCTTACTTATTTGCATGAAAATACCACCCACAAAGCTAAATAAGTCTTAAAAAGTTATTTGGAGGCTCTAAATGTTGTTTTCAAACCAAAGAACTCTAATTTTGATTGCACAATAAGATGATTGATAAGAAAGTCAATATATAGATTTCATTTTAAAAATAAGTATTTTATAGTCTGGCATATACTATGCAATGAGAATTCTTAAGGACTAAAACAGGGTATTTCAACTGTTATAAAAGGAATAAAATGTTAGTCTTTTGGAGATTCCAATCCCCCCACTGAACTTATTCCAAGAGTTTTAGTTCAGTCACTTGTGCAACTTTTTTAGTTTACCCACAAATAACTTTGTAATTTTTACTTTAAAACCCCAAGTCATACATCTGAAACTAAAAAAGAAGTTCTTTACTCAGTAATTTAAATGTGTCCCAGTATAGAAGTATAACTTCAATTAATTTGCTGATGCTAACTTTAAAAAAACTTACAGATATTCAAAACAAAGCAGAAAAAAATTTAGCCAAGATTTAAAAAGCAATTGCCTTGAACACGGAGCCTCCACAACAAAAAGGGAGATGTACTTGTCTACTCATATTATTATATTTAGTAGCCATATAAAGAAACACACCCGTCCCAAATATTTTTCTATTTTTAATGGATTTCCACTTGAAAACAAATCTTAATATTTAGTTTCAAATATTTTTCCAACTGCCCAGTATATTCCAATTAAATGCTGTATCTGGTAATACCTTAAAACTATAGGAAGAATAATTAAAGGTTCTACTCAGAAAAATTAGAAATACTTTGCAGTGTGGTATCTAAATCATTTCGGAAGCTAACTTCCCAAAAAGTTGACTTGATTAATTATCAAGAGGCAATTGTTCTGACTTTCGTGGAACATCAATGCTGCTTCTGAAAGCTTCCTTTGCTTTTCTTTCTTCACCCTATTAATACAGCCTGTACATCTTGTCAACCAAGAGAGATTTACAGAAAGCAGAATCTGTTGCATAAAACTGTATTGATAATAATATTCATATTTCAGAAAATACTCAATTTCTTTCACTTAGCTTGTTTAAAACTGAGATAGTCTGAAAAGGTGGTTGAGGTATAAAAGACTAAATAAAGGTTTTCCTGGGTAGCCATAAGTTTCCCAACTTTTTTTGGAGATAGAAGGAGGGGAGTGAAACAAAAAATGAAAGTGATCATAACAGAATTGCTGGGAGGAAAATAAAGAATGTGCAGTTAAAAACAAAACAAAATTAACAACCACTGGCATGTCGTGATTTTCAGCTAGAAAAACAAAGAGCTCACCTGCATGTCTCTGAACTTTAGTACAAGCATTTTTTCCTTCAAAAACAAAATCTTATTAGTCACCTGGCTTAAAAGGTTTCAGAAGCCTCCACAAAAGCCATGAACTATATTGTTGAATAGAACCTTTGCTATTCTGTTCCTACTTTCTAAGTTACTTATGTGACAAAAAAGCACCCAAATACCCTTAGCGAAACAAAAACAAAAACAAAAAAGGTCATTGCCTTCAAACTAAAGATCTCTGGGTCACCTCTAAAAATATAACCAACTTATTAGTCAAGAGACTATTTTCATTTCATATTCCAGCCGACTGTGATTTCAGTTAACTTATAAATAACTTTATAACCTTATGAATGAAATGCACCAAACTACACCTGTGTAAAAGTGATCATGTTTTAATTATGAGCTAAAAATAACTAATACAGTGAGCTTGAATGAGAAAAATGAAGATTCTAAATAAATTGCTAGGGAATTTCACAATGGGGTCAAGGAAAATTTTTTCTCTACATACAATATGATCATTAACAGACTAGTAAATCTTATTTGGAATGATAAGGCAAAAATAGTAAAACCACACTTTTCCTATAAAAAGTTACAGGTTATCTTCTGTAGGGATCACTATGGTACATGAAGAAACAAAGAAGATGTGATCACTCTATTGCACACCCAGGAACATTAGGGAATCTGGTCTTAGAATGATCTAGTCATCTTCTTCATCTCCATCATCTTCAGCATCTCGTTTCCTTTTTTCCCCTCGAAGACCTTCTTCTTCTGAAAGAAGAGTGAAAGAAAAATTGTAAAATACTAAATTTTAACAAATGAGTATTTGTTAAATTAGTTTTGAATCTATCTTATTGAAAACTTAATGGCATAAAAAAATTATACGTTAAGTTTCCTCTCGGTGTACTGAACACTTAACAGACTTAGAAATCCATAAATAATGACAGCTTGCTGTGCACCCTTGTGGCCAAATCATGAAGTACAGATCAAGAACTAGGGGTTTGTCATTAAAAGAATCATTAGTAAATTTTTAAATTTATTTTGAAAGGCCTAGGTAAAGAGTACTAGAGAACAAATCTGAAAAGAACATTATCTGGGAGTTCAACTGCTCTTCTCTTAGAGATAAGGCTTCATTCACCCTCTTCAAAATGAAAGACCTAAGAAAATAATAAATTAAGCTCAAGGTTATCTCACCTCTTCATACCGGTTTTGAAAATAAATGTTACAGGCTGGTGTTTTTTTTAATGAAATTACTGAATGCCCTGAAGAAATTACTTTTTTTTTTTTTTTTTGAGATTATTTATTTATGGGTGCCTGCGTGGCTCAGTCGGTTAAGCGTCTGCCTCCCGCTCGGGTCATGATCCCGGGGTCCTGGGATCGGCCCTGCATCCGGCTCCCTGCTCGGCGGGAAGCCTGCTTCTCCCTTTCCCTCTGCCCACTGCTCTGCCTACTTGTCCTCTCTCTCTCTGTGTCAAATAAATAAATAAATAATCTTTTTTAATATATATATTTTTTAAGATTTTATTTGACAGAGAGAGCGAGCGAGCGAGCACAACCAGGCAGAGGGAGAGGGAGAAGCAGGCTTCCCGCTGAGCAGGGAGCCCGATGCGGGGCTCGATCCCAGGATACCGGGATCGTGACCCAAGCCAAAGGCAGACGCTTAACCGACGGAGCCACCCGGGCGCCCCAGAAAATTACTCTTTTATAAAGGTTGTATGGGATGACTTAGCTCAGCCAGACGTCTGCCTTCGGCTCAGGTCATGATCTCAGGGTCCTAAGATCGAGTCCCACATCGGGCTCTGCCCTAAGCTTGGAGCCTGCTTAAGATTCTCTCTCTCCCAGGGCACCTAGGTGGCTCAGATGGTTAAGTGTCCGCCTTCAGCTCAGGTCATGATACCAGGGTCCTGGGATCGAGCCCCACATCGGGCTCCTGGCTCAGCGGGGAGTCTGTTTCTCCCTCTCCCTCTGCTTCTCCCACTGCTCATGTTCTCTCTCTATATATCTCTGTGTCTCAAATGAATAAATAAGATCTTAAAAAAAAAAAAAAAAGATTTTCTCTCTCCCTCTCCTTCTGCCAAACCCCCCTACCACTTGCGTGCTCTCTCTAAAAAAAAAAAAAAAAAAAAAGGTTTTACACCTCTCAAGGCACCCGATGTTACCAAAATCAAATCAGAGACCAGTAATAATTTGAATTATAAACACATTCTTTAAAGTATGTGAATAATAGCTATAACTTTAATGTTAGGATTTTTTTTATGGCTAATGTAACTCACCCTCTTCTTCCTCTTCTTCCCCTTCTTCAACATAATCATCATCATCTTCTTCATCCTTGAAAACCAAATATTCAGTTTGAGAATAAAAATCCATGACACACTTTTCACTGTTTGGTAGTAATACATTCTAACAAGAGCAAAAAAACTATGGTTTTTCTGTGTTCTGACAACCTCTGCCTAACTTACATAGGTCTTTTTTAAGAACCCAACCAAATCTAGTTTATGAAAGTAAGTTATGTTTTAGACCAACGCTGTTTAAAAGAACTTTCTGCAACAATGGAAATGTTCTGTATCTGTGCTGTCCACATGTGGCTACTGAGCATTTAAAATGTGACCAGTACAAGGGCGCCTGGCTGGCTGAGTCGGTAGAGCATGCAACTCTTGATCTCAAGGCTGTGCGTTCGAGCTCCGCAGTGGGTGTAAAGATTACTTAAAAATAAAAAAATCTTTAAATAATAAAATAAAGTAAAATGTGACCAGTACAAATGAGGAACTGAATTTTTCATTTTATTTAATTTTAACTTAAATAACCAAATGTGCCCAGTGGCTACTATAATGGACACAGTAACTCGACAATTTCAAAGAAAGGTTTTCTATTTTATAGAGTGAGATAGGAATTACCTGAATCCTAGCCCCAACATAGTTACATGCATTGAATAAGTCGCTTAATTTCCCTGGACCTCAGTTTTCCACTCAATAAAAGAAAGTATTCATCTAGAAAGATCTCTAAGTTCCTTCTACATCTAAAAATCTACATATCAAAACAGCAATGTCAAAAAAAATCACAAAACTTAATCTACAATTTTTGTGGAAGGAGCTGTCTACCGTTTTATATTAAACCTAACAAACCTTTCTCTTGAATAATCAGTCATAATGATTTGATCATGAACATAACACTAATTAATATTTGCCGATTCCCGGGCGCCTGGGTGGCTCAGTTGGTTAAGCGACTGCCTTCGGCTCAGGTCATGATCCTGGAGTCCCTGGATCGAGTCCCGCATCGGGCTCC